TTTTCTCGTCGCTTTGTTTCTCCGAAGTCATTGCCTCGCATAGTTGCCGTCATGTGTCTGCATAATATACGAGTCCTTCCGTCCGTCTTCAAAAAGATTCTCGCTGGCGAATATCAAATATAAATCTGTCATCCTCTCTTCTCTTTCTCCTTTTCTTCCCTCTTCTCTCATCTCTACGCACGCGCTTCCGTTTTTGTAGTACAAGGTATCCGACGTGACGGAACGCGCAGCACACACCTCTCCTTTCCATTCCGCGTAGCATCGTCGCCGCCCCGGTGATACTTTTATGTAATAGTTCCACGGAAAGTATAAGTCACCCCGCTGCAGCACGACATCCATGAGTAATCTCGCCGGCGACGTGTTTACAGGCACACGAGAAAAGTTTTGTCATCGTTTCCCGGCAGAAATATACTTGGACGACACGTAAACCTTCGATTATTTAAATGGCTCGCGGGAATTATTTTAAGAGGGAGATAAACGATGATTAATACACACGCGTGATTTATTTCCGTGCAAATTTTCGAGGCAATCAGTCTCGGCAGTTTCGCACTTTGCGCTTTTAAACGAGTTATTGTATATTTTATCGCTAGAGGTGTGACATTTTGATGCTATCTTTATACACAAAATGCCCCAGGAACGTTTTTAATGTTATTTTCTTATATTTTGGAGTCCCCAACTTCGTTTCAACACGTTTTCAAAACGCAAAATGATCCTCAACACGCAAAATGGCGTCCAAATAACGTCAATGTTGTATCACTTGTATCAGAGAAAAAGGTTGAAAATTGTTCCAAATCAACTCCGCAGCCGCAAGTAAATATTTGAAGAATTAACATCTTTTTCTTGTTACTTAGATATCAATAATTTTGCTAGAGATTGTGAAATGTTACCATTCAGTTCCTTTTGTTCAATTTTAGAGCTAAACCAACGAGATTTATGCCTAAGATTTGTGTTTGTTTGCTTTTTTAAAACATGTCACTGCTTTTACAGCCTAAAAATGATATGTAATTTCAGTAATTTGTTCCATGCTATTTTATTATGTTATGTTTTATGTAACATTTTTTAACATATGTTTAGCCTTAATAAATGTCGTAAATTGTTCTATCAAAACATTAAGTCGTCTTATTGAAGCCCTGCCCACCAAAAACATTATCAAAATAACGCAATCAAAATGTCACACGTCTACTTATCGCATTTATCACGAGTGTACGTGTATCTTTGGTTAAAAATTTAAAGGAAGATTTTTGCTTGCTTCTAAAGGATCCGTTGTGTTATCTCAAAGTAGCAGTATTTTGCCCGACCGATTAGCTTGAGAAAGTTTCTCCACATCTACATAAATGCATTTATAGAGAAAGTCTCTTCAGATCGTGAATACGTGCTAGTTTTCGTTCCTTCTACTTTCGGTAGCATTTATAAAAATCTATCTTCTCTCCAACTCTTTCGCATAAACTTTACATAATATATATTGTTTGAACAATAAGATTATACATCTTTATCTACCTCTTGACGGAAGAATTTATTGTACATAACGCATAGAACGTTACATTAGGCTATTTTACATAACGCAGATTTGCATTTTACAAATATAAATTCTTTTTGCACCTATCTCCGTTATTTGAAATAGTATAAAATAGAAAAAATAGAATGGAGGAGAAAGAGTGAAAAATAATTTCGAACTCGCTGAAAAATCAATCGGTGGATTGTAACTGGAAACAGTCACTGATTTACAGTTATAAGTGAACTGAAAATCGCAGTGGTATACTCATAACTGTAAATCAGCGACTGTTCGCTGCCTTCAGCGATACTCCACTGATTGATTTTTTAGAGGGAACGTAGGGACCTCTTTTAGAATTCAAAATTCTACTTTTAGAAACTAATTAGAATTTACAATCTCTTTTTAGTTACAGCGAATGCGATTTAAGACGCCGAAACTTTCAGCAGATACCAAACATCTCTCCAAGAAAGATACGGCATACTTTCTCCCGAACACAGATTCACCTTGGAAATCTAAATCTTTTCTCAGTATGACAACAATGAGATCCTTCGGAAGTTTGTTCACAGGGAGGCTTTAATTTTATATGTTTAGATACTTAAGTCAAAAAGTTAAAATAAAACTGTATTTGAAACTTACTTCGCGTTCGCACTTAATGAAATTTATAAATATCGACTCCTTGTTATTCTCCTCGTTATACCTGCACAGTAGAAAATCGTGTGTTGAAATGTTAAAATTTTCTTGTGTTACCAAGACTTATTGTTTCAATGTAAAATTAACATAAGACAGATATGTTATTATTTTTGTAACATTTTTACGTGTTATATTTATGTTAACATAATAACTTGACACTTTATGTACGTCATTTACAAATTGAATATCATTTTGAGTTCTTTTAGCACAACTATTTCACAAAATCAAGCAAAACATGTAATATCGACATTTCTTAAAAGTTATTTCAACTATTTTAATTTGTAACCATTCGTACAGTTTACTTATCCTGTCTGTTTTTTTATCACATCACACTTGTGGTTAAAAGAACATAAACATAAATGTCAAGTATAGTGTTAATTAATTAACATACATTATTTGTCAAGAAGTAACGCACGCGATGAATGTTACTTTTAACTTAAAATATAGAGTGGGCCTTTTGGGACACGTGGAAAATGTTAACATTAACATTTTATTTTCTACTGTGTCAATCGTTGTACACAGTTGAATCTCCAATGCCCAAAGTCCATGACTGGCCGAGGCATCGAGCGTTCGTCCTCTTTACGTTCCGCCAACAAGGCGACGCGATGTAGGATCGCGTTGGCGTTATCGCGTGGGACATCTCTCGACCTGACCATCATCGAAAGCCTTCGCGAATTCTTTCGCCGATGATCCTCATTATACCGCAAAGTAGGGACGCATGCGCGCGGTTTGCGAATATATTCGAAGCACGTTGAAACCACGTGAGCCATAATTGGTACGGCGATCGCATGCTATCGTTCGAAACAATGTCGGCGAGCGCATGGTGCAGTCTGACTCTAATTGAAAATTGGTCGACGAGAGTTGTGTCGGCAAACACGTATACGGTGTACGTACAGTCGTATTCATTGACGCCTGGACCTGCATTTTTATCATCATTTTTCTCATCTATACAAATCGCTGAGTTTCAGACTGCGTGTATGTACTATCCGTAGACTTGTATACTAGTGTGACTTGTATACTAGACTGCGCCATCCGTAGGAGGCGTAAGATATAGAGTCGGTCGTAAGATATAGAAAGAGAGGAAGAGCTGAGCTGAGCCAATGTGTCTCTGTCTAACTTTTTCGTTTTCCCCCCCACTCTTAACGCTGAGCGAGAGAGAGAGAGATCATGACTTTTTTGATATGTCTGCACTCTAATGTATGTTGTCCCTATGGACAGTCTAGTGTACAAGTCTATGGTACTATCACCCCAAATTGTATAGAAACTGTGTCAACTACAGCCTGAAACTCATCGATGTATAGATGGGAATAAGGATTATGAAAACGTGAATCTTAGTAAAACTGAAGTTCAGGCCATTGAATGGTTAAGACTGTACGTGACTGCGCGCGCGTGTGCGACAGGAAGCGGCCAAGGTTGGCGACGCATCACCGTACACTGTCATAGAATCGATTACATCAAGTATCCTCGCCAGAGAAAAGTGTGCCAGATGATGTAAAAAAAAGTTATATTAAATCTGGTTGACATTGTGACTTTGAGAGTTCGCGACTTTTTCTCGTCGCTTGCGCGGAGGCGTATTTTTAAGACACTGCCAGCGGCTTCTTGCGAGGCTAATAAAGTTTGATCCGGCTAGGATTTCTTAGGGATCTCATCATAAATCTCTTGATATCTCTTTAATCTGACTCTTCATCTATCTTCACCGAGTCGTCTTCTTCTTTTTACGTTTGGGTAGAGTGCATTCTCAGGCGCAATTACAGAGTGCAGCCTAATGAAACTCTCTCTCTCTCTCCTTCTCGCGGCCATAAAGAATGCCGGGGCGCACGTTGGAAACGCAGAATGCGATAACGATAAGGTGTTAACTATGTATTTCTGATAATAATGCGTTCCGATGGAAAAAAAGGAGCGTGCCTCTAATTACTCCGAATAAGGAAGCTACGAAACACGCATAGCGATTCGGTTCGACGGTCTTACAATTAGATTGACTAATCCCCGCGGTAGAAGTTCCTGCTCGCGCTGACTTATGATATTCGCGCCAGTTCACCCATAAAATAACAGACGAGGCTGAGTTGCCGGTGAAATTCCAAAACCGGACTGACAGTCCCCTACTCTCCAAAAGTCAATCAGTGGATTATCGCTGAAAACAGTGAATAGTCACTGATTTACAGTTACAAGGATACCACTGCAATTTTCAGTAGTACATTTATAACTGCACTGATAATTCACTGATTGCCCGAGTTGAAATTTTGGCCCTACGTTGAACCTTTAATTCTATTAGTAGGACCCAAGACAGTAAAAGAGGTCGAACTGCAAGTACAAAATTTACTCCTACTTTAAAACTGATAGTGTCGGAAATTTCTACTTTTACCAATTTAGCATTAAAGTAGGTCCTTTTAAGTGGGAGCTAAAGTAAATTTTTAGAATTAAAGATTCAAGGGGGGGGGGAGTAAAAAAATATAATGTCCTCAAAGTAGATTATTGCTGATCTATGTAGGTGCATAGATCAGCTAAGTAGATGTAAATGATCCTTAAATTTCGACTCGGGTGACTTTAAGAGATTGCGTCGAGACGAAGCGTGAAAACGCAGCATCTCGGGGCCTCCTTTCCCCCTTCGTTTCCCATTGATTACGCGGGGATGAGCACAAATTCGCGCACTTATGCCGGGTAGGAGCGTGTCCCGCGAGTTTGTACTCGCCCGTGTACTATCAGCCGTCGATCGCGGTCTTTTACGCGCACGCGTCCCGTCGCGACGTCCGCGTATTTCACGCTCCGTCGACACAACTTTCACTAAATAATCCATGTAACGTTACCTCTGGTATTTCAGGACAGCGCGCCATGCGTCAGCCTTAAAACTTACGAGGGACCGAGGTTCGGGACGGGATCTGAGATCAGTGAGCAGCTGAAATATCGAAGGTACGTCAGGATTTCCTACTTTGACTCGCTGCTAACTCACTTTTCGAGTACATTTAAATTGAATAGGAAACGAGAACCGCCTTTGAGATCCGAGCGAGGTCTAGGTAGCCCAATAATTTTAATGTAATATGTGAATTCATGTACTCTCTAAAAGGCAATCAGTGGATTATCACTGAAAATGGTGAATAGTCACTGATTTGCGGTTATAAGTACAGAGAAGAGTCCCCTATATTATGAGGTAAGCTTCTAATATGAGACAGCAGAGTTTTGCCAAATTAATAGGCATCATCTATTGGTTTCGCCGTGAATTTATTGCCCTTGGAGTGAAATCTGTTTAGTGGAAAATTCGTTGTCAGATCATGCAATTGCTGCGAATAAAAAATTGTGATTAAATTTTTATGTTGAAAACCTGCTGTCTCGCATTAGAAATCTATCTTATAACGGAGGACGGAAAATCGACCGCTGAAATCGCAGTGGTATGCTGTAAATCAGTGTCTATATTCGCTGTTTTCAGTGATAATTCATTCCGATTGATTTTTAGAGAGCACCGTTTTTTCCACCTGTGTGTCCTGCGATTTCTAATTATTATATTTAAAAACGCTGCATTTAGCATTCAATACAACACCCCCTCTCCGTACTGTGAAAATTGACGTTTAAATTGCTACGTACGCGCAAATAAGTAACTTTAATCTCTGCAATTGATCTCCCCCCTAATTGCAATCGACCTCAAGAATTTCCGAGAGCTGACTCTCCGGAGGAAACTCTGACGAAAGCGAACTCCTCGGTAAGAGCGGAACGAGGAGTGACTTTCCGTCGGCCGCGCGTGCCTGGCGAATCGCTCGGCCTCGAGTGAACTCTCATCTCTATAAATTATTTCGCGTTGTCCGTACACGTTTCACGTCGGTCGTGAATCGTTAGCGCTGTGATATGTAAATAACAGGGATTTGAGCCGATCACCGGGAACTTTAGCTAACGGGCCGTTGTCATCGACGATCGTCCCCGTTCCGGCGGAACGTTCGCCGCGTTTCGCGGAAAATTCGCATTCCGGGCTGGAGAACGACACCTCGGCGCGGCGGTCAGACGGGTAACCGGGTATTTTGTTACCGTGTACCACCGCGAGCGCGTATTACCGCGCGGCGTAGTCTAACGGTGCAGCCGGGTCCGGCGCGAGCGCATCGGAGCGTGCCCGAGACTCTCCTTCGTTCGCGGCCCTGCATCACGGTTTGCCGCAGTCACGGTCTTACACACAGGTCTTGGACTCGGGCAAATTTTTGTGGTGGGGGGTGTGCCAAAATTTTAACCCTTTGAAGCATACATTTTTCTATTGAACCATTTCTTGTGAAACTTCGTGTATACAGGGGTTTTTTGGGAGTCGCTGATTACGAACCCCTTATTAGATTTTCATAATTCAAAATGGGGGATTCGAGATGACGGAATTCAAAACTTAAAAGAATAACGTCATTCAACTGTAATTCAACTATGCTAAGAAACGTTGTTTAGATATTATTAGGACCCACGGAATCTACAATAAATTTAGTTGAAAATGCTGAAAAACTTGAAAACTTAAAAAATTCACGTACTTTGCATTCGCCATTTTAGGCCATTTTGAATTTTAAAAAATCTGACATCGGATTCGTCATGCGCGAGCCCGAAAACCCCTTTGTACAAAGTTTTCAAGAAATAATCTTAAAAGAACTAATTTTGGCTTAGGAACTGGTATAACCTTCACCACCGAAGTTTCCAGACCCGTATGTAAGACCATGGTGTAAAGATACAAGGTGAAACGTTGCGCATGTAACCAATTTTTAGGGCAAATTGCTCATCGGCTCTTCCTGTATTCAACCGTAATGATTTGCAGTTTGATGGTTGGGGCAAATTTCTGATTGGTCAATTCGGTAGTTTGGGCCACTTCTGATTGATTGACACTGCGCATCCACCAGACCGCTTCACCTTGTATCTTTACACCATGTGTAAGACCGTGGCCGCAGTCGTCGCGAGCATGATGTAAAAATACAAGGTGAAACATTGCGCATGTAACCAATTTCTGGGGCAAATTGTTTATTGGTTCTTGCTGCATTCAATCGCAATGATTTGCAGTTTGAAGATTTGGGGCAAATTTCCGATTGGTCACGCGTGCGCATCTACGGGAATGTTACACCTGGCATTCTCGCATCGCGCGAGAGAGGGACCCGGGAGGACAAGACGCGGAACGGCCGCGCGGGACGTTTCCCTTCGATCCCTCGCGCGTTTTCCCCGTTCGTTTCCGGAACGCGGGCCGCAGCACGCGCAGAGCGACGAGTACGGCCGGGATATCTTTTTACATATCAAAGAAATTAATTCGGCTGAGAGCTGGGTTCAGCGACGCGCGTATCTCGCGTGCTAAAAGGATTCCCCTCCGCAGCCGCGTAACGTATTAATGAGCGGCGTTGTAATAGCGAGCTGTGGGGCTGTTATTCTCTTAAATCGTCAATTTTAGTTTATTGTTGAAGAATGATGCCGCTAGGAAATTTCTTACGGGGTTCTCCTTTTTTTTTTTCACCGGATACGGTAGTCGACCGCATGAGAAAGCGTCGAGATTGCGCCAGCGGAAGACCGGATATCAATCGCATCTTTTTTAATGGTCTCGCTGCTGAGCGGATAATGGCTGTGCCAAACGTATCTCAACATCTCGCAGTGACGTGAAAGGGTTGAGGCTGATGGATAAACACGATAGAGTCGCAATAAAATCCCGCGCGTTGCATCGGAACGCAAGCGAGTCGGTTCTTGCAGAAAGGGCATGACTCAACTTTTCTACGAAAATAAGTTCTATCAGAGGGGAACACTGTACCGTTAGGGTAGCCTCGGCGATCCGCGCGCGCAGGAAGGTCTCGAGTCGCGCTTAAGACAACACTCCTCCACGCGATCCTCTATTCCTAATTATTTCCGATTCGGCGAAACGGTACAGCGGATTAAAAAGTCGCGACAATTTATCTACATTGCTCCTGAAGAGAAAACTTATCTCGTGTGACATATTCTTTTCAATAATACGAGACATTTCCGTTGCAAGCGTATTGCGTTGAGAAAAAGTACAGACGCGCGTTTCCTATAACTTCGCAAATTTTTACGGATATCGAATGCAAAAATTAATTTGAAGAAAAATGAGCGAGACTCTTTACGCATATCTAAATGCTTTTACGAAAGGAGAGTTTGCTCATTGTCACCAGTAATGATTAAAAATTGAGACAGGAAACTGATAGTCAACCCGACTGGCTAGTTATTTAATTAGTTTGTTACACAACGTTTCGACCCTACACTTTTGGGTCCTTTTCGAGTGATACTAAGTCAGTCATCGTCGTCGAATAAGACAGAGTCGAGTTATAAAATATATGTATACGTGTGAGCACTGTGGTAGCTGGTCTCGAACCCTGTCGACGACGACGACTGACTTAGTATCACTCGAAAAGGACCCAAAAGTATAGGGTCGAAACGTTGTGTAATAAACTAATTAAATAACTGGCCGGTTGGGTTGACTATCATTGCAGTTTCCCGTCTAAACGCTTTTACTTCGTCCGCAATTCGTGCGATTGTTGCGCGCGTGGTATATAATTTTACGTCACTTTGTCCACGGTTTTCGAGAGAAATAGACAATTTCGTATTCTTAATTGGCGATTCAGCGCCTCACAATACCCCAACGCCGCGAATAGAATTAAAGACACGATCGAAGCCTCAGTGCGATAGGGCTGTTATTTTCAATTTCGAGACGCCGTCGAAGACAAACGTTCGAGGAGGACAAGAATAATTAAGGATCATAAAATTATTTGCGTAATGGGCCTCTTAAAGCGCCGCGCGAATATACCTCGTTTCTCAACAGCCACGGGAGGTTGGGAAGTGTAATATTACCGAAGGGACTGTAATGTGATTAAGCGCTCGGGCGTACGGCGCTGCGTTAAGAGATCTTTTTTTCTCTCTCTCTCTCTCTTATTTCGACTTAACTTCTCGTACGCGATATGTTAACGCGACGTGCGAGATGACACGGGCGGATAATACCGCGGCGGAGCATCGCTAATTAAATCGCGCTTTGTTATTTCCTATTAACTGTTTCTTTTTCCACGTGCATAGCGCATCAATTAAATAATTAAGTAAGCGCGCGATCCGCTGCGGCACGTTCGGAGAAAGGAAACGCAGGAAGCAGGAAACGCTACAATTGCCATGGGATTCTCCTGTGATTTCTCGCGCGTTACTTTCCGCGTGCTCACGGCTGAGGGACGCGGCTGCTCTCCGAACGGGTAGGAAGCTGTAAAGGCTTTAACGAGCCTTAACAAACTGCCCTTCGAACGCCTGCCATTTGCGATTTTACGGAACAACTCACGCGATTAATGCAATACGTGTCGCTTTCGGTGATCAATTCTGGCAGGTACGAAGATGATTTGTATAAAAAGAAAACCCGAGTGTCCACTTTCATCGTAAATATCCAATACAATATATTAAGAATATTCATTTAAAAAGAATTTTATCCGTTCATATAAAAACTGCTTTTAAGTTTCTCTAATAGTTCTTATATATTAGTCGATTTATATAAAGTCGAAATAATAGTCGACTTTATATAAAAAGAAGAGAAATTAAAAATATTACTTTATAAATGATTGAGATTAGCTAACCTCAATCACGTACGACTGTCCCTGGTTTTGTCTTTATGCGTACTTTAATCGTATGGAAGAATTTTGCAATTTTATTAAAGCCCACTTCAAATTTAGTTAGAACTACGAATTGCAACTTTCAAACACCAATATCTTCTTTATTAGACTTCTGTACTGAGTGTTTTAAGTATGAAAATGTTCTGCTATGCGGTCCGCAACTTAGCCTGATATTATTTTGTGCACAAAAGCTAATAAAAAGAATTACAAGCGCAAAAACTATATTTGACTGTGTCGGCTAAAAAGATGGCTGAAGGATCCTCTTAAGTTATAAAAACTCGCCGAATTTTCGCAATCGTTTATCAAACAACGCGTCTGCAAAAAGAG